TAATAATAATATGTTTGTGTTGTTGTGTCCTATGGTGGACAATAAACCAATAATTATAATAATCTTTATTCAACCAGGAGAAACGGATCAAACTCGTCTTTTCCAGGCCGAGAGGCAGCAAGTACCAGGATTTACAAAATACATCATGACAGGCAAAGAAAATGTTTCATAATTTAAATTAGAAAGAAATGCATTTCATAAGTGAAACTTTGAAAATCTTCTCTGACAATAAGTTTATACAGAAGTTGAAGCAACATTTGAGGTTTGCATAACAATCACAAACATTTATGCAAACATGGATGTTCCTTTTAAAATTCTTCTTGAAACAATTTGTTTTCAAATAATTTTGAAATAAAAAAATCGAAGAATAATTTTTTCTAATAATTTAAAAAATAATAATTATATGGGTGCTGCAAAGACACATTTCTATTTGTCTGAACGGATGTTAGCAACAGCATTTCTGTTGGCCGGTGTTTAACAAGTGCAATGTGTCAAAACTTTTGAAAAAATAAAATCTGGAGGAAGAAAAGCGAAGTGTGGATGTGAGTTCAGCTGCTGCACAAAAGTATTTTTAGATCCAGAAGCTCATAAATTTTTGAAAGGTGTTCTTCGCCTGTAATAGTTTTGGGACTATTTTCTCTCCATAGCTGAGTTAGAAGCTGAGCTGCAGAGAGGAGCCATCCTGACCTTTGAACCTGAGCAGCTGGTTCAGGACTCGGACCTGCTGGTGACTCGTGTTGAACTCGCCCACCAGAACTCTGCTGAGCATCGGTGCGGCGCCGGAACCGGAACCGGGTCGGCTCTCCTCACCCTGAAACTGGATCAGCTCGATCACCGTCATCCTCTCGCCGTTCCGGAAGGAAACCGGACCCTGAGACAGCAGAAGGCCCGTTGGACCGGTTCTGGTCTGATCATCATGCTCTTTAAGATAAAAACTTTATATATTTAGCCATTCTGCTACCTTTGAAAATGTCTAGCTTACTCAGCTTCCCCTAAATTATTTTCCAGAAAATTCTAAAGCGTTAATTTAATGGGTATTTGATAAACCTTCAGCTGAATGAAGTTCAACATTTATCTTGTTGGTGTTGCTCTTCAGGTTAGCTACTGTTAATTACTGTGACGGTACTAGCTTCTGCTAATTATTTTGGGGTAGCAAAGCTAGCTGTTTAGCTAGCGGTTCCCACCACTGCAGAACCAGTACAGGTGGAAGATGAAGGAAGCAGATGGGAGCCTGTCACCGAGTCTCAGGTGTGTGTGTCCTTACTGTTACTCCTTCAAACTGTGTGCTCTTCACGGCCTCCAGCAGCATCTTCCCCTCCTCTTCCTCGCTAACGGAGGCGTTCCTCAGAGAGCTGAACTTTCTCCTGATCTTCGCCGCCTCCTTCACCTGAACCAGAACCCGGGCGGCGACCCAAACCGCATCGTAGGCAAAGGCGTGGAGGGGGTCGACCTCTGACCCCTCCTGGTTCAGCTGCTTCAGGTACGACTTCAGGTACTCCTGAGGAGTCTGTGGACGGGATGAACCTTTAGCCTGGAGCTAGCATCCCAGCCGGGCCAGAAAGTGCAGAGCAGAACGGTTCTGACCCGTCCGGAGACTCCAGGCGTGTTGGTGCTGCTGAGCTGTCTGACCTGCAGCCTGAAGGATCCATCTGCTGCCGTTAGCAGGCTGCTAGCAGAGCAGCTGGAGGGCTGCCATCCCAGCCTCCACCCAGAAGGTCGTCCAGCAGCCAGAATCCACTGGTACCGAGGTCCGAACAGGCCCAGTCTGAACGCCTGAACACAGTCACCAGGGTCCAGAGGTTCTGGTTACAGCCAGCATGTTGCTTTGAGGTTAGATAAGAATTAGCCTCAGCCATCAGACCGCATGTTTTTCATTTTAGCCTATTGAATTTCAAGATGGACGCCGTCTTTGAGCCTTTTAACCAATTACTGCCATAAAAGGTTCCCCATTTTTAAAAGGTTCCCCTTTTTTAAAAGGTTCCCCATTTTTAAAAGGTTCCCCATTTTTAAAAGGTTCCCCTTTTTTAAAAGGTTCCCCATTTTACGGCTTGGATGAATTTTGTCTCATCTTATGTTTTCAACTTTGGTCTTCCTGTTGATACAACTTTAAAATAATCAGAAACTGGGAGTCTCACACCAGCCATCAACTGGAAGGACAGTCATTTTAGCGGTTAGCGTTAGCTGTTTCTGCTCATTTTTTTTATGTGTTTAGCCATTTAGTGTTAGCTTGCACTAAAATTATTTGTGTTTAGCAGTTAAGGTTTAGCATCCTCACATTTTTTGTCTTTTGCAGTTTATTATTAGCTTACACAATTTTTTTAACGTGATTAGCAAATTAGCAATAGCTTACACTAATTGTGTGTGTTTAGCATTAGCAGAGCTAATTCTTTTGTATTTAGCAGTGAGCTAAGATTTTTGTTTAATGAAAGAGTGAATTTATCTTTTTGGTTAGCTGTGGCCTCCGCTGGCAATAACTACTGTGGGTTTTAGTGCAAACATATTCTCCGTTACAACCATGGTGGCCATTTTGAAAAATAATCTGATTATCAGGTAATATGATTTCTATGGTCCAAATCTGAATGATTTGACACCAAAAGTTTCCATCTTTGGTAAATACAAATGGCCGCCATCTTGAATTTTTCAGTCTTTTAAAGCCGGGCCCTGGGCTCATCTGGGCCATGTTAGCATGTGAAATATTCAGAACCAGAATCTGGACCCAGAGTTCACTCACACAGCAGAACACCTCCGTCACAGAACCGTCTTCAAAATGTCCTACGATGATGCGGACATCTTCATCCTGTGAAGCGGAAGCAGAAAGGAAGTGAAGAGCCACAGAACCTGGACCTGGAACCGGAACCGTCCTGGACCCAGTGTTGTAGAACTCGAGACCATTTTTGATGGTCTCAGTCTCTGAGGACTCGGGATTTTATTTCAAGACCGCAACTGTGGAAATATCACTAAACTTACCGCAAACTGTCCAGTTTACTTGTTAACATGTTTCTTTTCACTGGATGCAAAACGGACCGATTAATCCAACCAATCACGTGACTTTCTGTTGCTCCCCCTCCCCCTCGTCCCAGACATGCGCAGTGGTTTCCTCTGAGCGGCAGAAGATGTCTAATCGTCAGTAAAATCGTAAATAAATCATAAGAAATCCGATGGCCACAGCTAACTCAGCAGCGCTTCGCTTTCACAGACGGTGGGGACAAAGTCTGACTTTTTTCATCACTTAGAAAAGAAGCTGAAAGAAGGTAAGATCCGATGACGGGATGTTAGCAAAGCTAGCTGTACGGAGACACCTAAGCATTTGTGATGAAAAAAAAGGTCAGTCACTGCGCTGGATTATTGTGGAAGGTGTTGACTAACGTGTCGTATGTATGGGACAACACTGTGTCCAAAAGTCTGCAATATATTCAGGAACGATCCGATTCTTCTGAACGGCTCTTTACTAAGAAGATCGGACTGGATTCACAGAGAGCCATTCTTTGTTCTTGTAAAGTTCTGTGTACACTGCAGTTACTTATATACATTGGTATTTATTTAATTAGCAAATAATTAAAACACAGAACAAAAGAGCACGCAGAGCATGTGCATTGCTCTTTGATGATTTTTGTCACCCGTCATGTGGCAGACATTACATCAGGGGTGTCCAAAGTGGGTCCTGGAGGCCCGGCATCCTGCATGTTTCAGTTCTCTCCCTGCTGGTCGTAACAACCTTCTCAGCAGGTCAATGTTCCTCTTAGGCCTCTAATGAGCCACCATTTGATCCAGGTGTGTTAAACCAGGGAGAGAATAAAACATGCAGGATGCCGGGCCTCCAGGACCCACTCTGGACACCCCTGCATACAGCACTGTGCGCTGCCTGGCTTCATGGAGCGCAGTGTTTCTCCACCCTGGTCCTCAGGCCTCCTGTCCTCCATGTTTTAGGTGTTTCCCTTCTGCCACACCTGGACTGTATCTCTGGGTGATTACAGGCTTCTGCAGCACTTGATGGTCCTGCAATCATTGGGATCAGCTGTTCTGGACTAGAGGCTCATCTAAAACATGCAGAGCAGGGGGGCTGAGGACAAGGTGGAGAAACACTGATGTGGGAGAGAGGATGAGAACAGTCACGCTGAGCGCCATGAGCTTGGTCACTTCATATTTGAGGGTTATCATTAGTGCATTGCCTCTATTGCTGTTTAATGGTGCAGATACTGATGGTTTCTGACATGACCAATATGGGCAAACACCCAGGGCGTTATCTTTTTAGGGATGGCACGAGACCACTGCGGATTGTAGCACAGAGATGGAAGCAAATAGTTTGTTCTGCTTTTAATATTGGTTAAATTTATTAAGTATTTAATATTTTGGTGTTTTTATGGGAATGTGGATCTATCAGATCAATTTGAGAAGCGATTTTGATCATATTTCACGTTTTATCGTGTCCTGTAGCGTGGGCTGCTGGTCTTGGTCTTGTCTCGGTCTCTGGTTAGGTGGTCTTGACTACAACACTGCCTGGACCCGGACCGAAACCGTCCTGGACCCGGCCCGGTTCTACCTGCAGCCTCCTCAGGCCGCTGCAGGCGTCCCCAGAGAAGCGTTCGGCGGCGGCCAGCTGGACGTCAGCCCTCAGAAGCTGCCGGGTCAGATCTCTGGTCATCTGCAGACAGAACGGGTCGGACTCTGGGTCAGGTTCTGCTGGGTCTCAGGTCAATTCTGTTTCCTACAGGGACATTCGTAGCAACTCATTCAGTTTTCATTACAATTCATCAGTTTGTTAAATGTTCAGGTTTTTGCTTTTAAACTGATTAATTTCTCCCTCTGCTGCAGCATTTTCGCTCTTAAAAACAATAATTAATGGGAAAAGCATCATGAATTTACAAACTAACAAACCTACTGAAATTAACAGCTCCAGTTTCTGTGCTTATTCATCTGTTTTTTAGCATTTCGACTGTTTAGGGAAAACTGTTTTTCCCTAAACAGTTTAAAACTACGACTATATTAAAAGAAACTGAAACGAAGCCAATATTTAAGTAATGACAAATAAAAACTAGCAAAACACTAAAAAACTAACTAAAACTAATTGAATTTGACAAAAATTCACATCAAAATAAAACTGAACTGTAATGAAAAACCCCAGACTGTTTTGACCCGGCAGCGACGAGGCTGATGAGGATCCTGTTCATTCTTGGCTGACAGGAAGTGTAAATATGAAGTGGATGAAGGTCAGCAGGTCATGTGGTCAGTCACATGATCACCTCAGTGGGTCCCGGCCGGTCCTGGGTGAGCAGCCCCACCCTCCTCCACCTGAAGCGCTGCAGCAGCTTCACCGTGGCCAGGTTCACGGTGCGGACCGGCGGCGCCGTGCTGAACAGGTGCTGGTACCACTTCCTGTTGGACAGGCTGGGGGGCGGAGCCTCAAAGGACACCTGAGACCCAGAGCAGCAGGAAACCAGTTGACGATACACAAACAAGACAGGATGACGATGAGGAGGAGCAGCGTACCTGCAGGAGGCCGAGCGCTGGCAGAGCGCGAGCGATGAGTGATGTCACAGATGGACACGCCCCCCCCAGCATCAGCAGGTACCTGGGCCCCGCCCACAAGGCGTCAAACAACGCTTTCAGGGCTTTGGCTGGGTCACACTGGCAAACAGGGAAACACACCTGAGGATGAAGAGTCGGAACCAGGGGTGCTGCCAGGAAACTTGGGCCCCCTGACAAAAAAATAGTTTGGGCCCCCCGCAGCTGCTGTTACAATTTCTTGAGTCT